CTTGATCCCCGTGCCATTACGATATTAATGTAATGCCGCTAAAAAGGTGTGTTTGCTCGGTTAGGAGGAGGGAGAGAGGCGAGCCATGGCTCGAGGATCGAGCCCACGTAGGATAGTCTCGCCAGATATGGCGTGTGCCTGTGCCTTGGCCACCACCACGGGTTATCGTCGCCGCCACCATCGCCGTCATCGTCCTCTTCGTTCACTCTCTACACCCGGCTGTGATCCCCCTGGCGATTTAAGGAGAACGATTAGAGCACGGTCGAGCGATCTCGCGAAGTAAAAACGGGACCTGAATATCGAATCGTCTCTTTTTTTCTCTCTCTCTTTTTCTTTTTTCTTCTTCTCGCCGCTTATGTTCACTTCTTCCTCCGCTCTGTATCTCCTCTGTCTCTTTTAGCTGCGTAGAAGTTTGTTCGTTGATCATCGTGTGTCGCCAATGGTCCGCGGTATCGTTCTCTCTCTCTCCTCTCTGTGCGTCTATTGTTCCCGCGGTGTACGTTGCTCACGATACTCTTCTCCAGCGGGGCCGAATAACGCCGTGAGTCTTTTGTTCCCTTTGAAAATTGTACGAACGCCCGAGGGTACACACCGGTTAATGGAGAACAACTTGGTGCTCGGAGAGAAAGAGAGGGAGAGAGAACGAGGGAAAGGTTCTCTCGGAGTAATCGAAGACCGAGAAATTATAGTGTCAGGTATCCCGTGTTGCTCGCCACTCGTGGAAATCATTATCGTTAAATTTATGATTCTTTAAACGGTCGATCAGGTGAGACAGAGTCTCTCCCTCCAAGTGGTGTGCACACGCGTTGAAGAGTTCTGGCGCTGGTTTCTCGCGACGTTCACTGGCATGTACGTATAGTACGAATATCGTTCCAACTCTTTCTCTCGAACAGTCTTTCTCGCCGTTCAGTCACGGTCACTCGCGACCTCGTATCTTTATTCGGTCATGCGGCGAACGAGAGCGAACCAGTGGTGGCGGGCCGCGAGTATATTCACGCGAGGCGACGCCGACGCTCAACGTCTCTCCTCGTTCGTTAAGAATAGGTAGCGACGGGGAAGTTGCAACCCTTTTTAGCTAGAGGGTATGCACGTTGGAATAGTCGTTTTGACGTAATTGCAAAAACTGGACTGACCTGTTTCGATACCTCTATGCTCGCTGGAGGACATCTTCTTGCTAGGGCGCTCTTATCTTTGCCGCATCGCATGTAATTCTGGTACGCGTAATGACAAAATTGTCGCGGCGCGCAACCAGAAAGAGTAGTAGAAGAAAAAAAAAGTGGAGAGAGGGAGAGAGAGAGAGATTAAGATCGAAACGTATCGAACGTTGTTTCGTACTTAACGCGAAAGGAGCGTCGTTAGATTTTACAGTTGCAGCTACTTCTGCCTCGTAAACCCAGCCTCGTAACTTTCCCCGCCGGCCGCTATTCCGTGTTACGGATTTAATAGGATCAATTAAAGAATAGGATCCTCTTTTTATAGACACTTTCGTCGTGTCTAATCTTAATTCAGATCGGATGAGTTTATCGTTCTGGTCAACGTTAAACGTTCAGTAGATTCTTCGCACGGTTCTACTCGTAATAATCCAACAAGTCACTCACGACGGAAAGTGCCACGCACGCAGAAGAGGGAGAGAGAGAGATGAAGAAGAAGAAGAAGAAGAAGACTCGATCGTTCCTTTACTCGAGTGCTCT